CTTTAATTGAGCTAGAGAAGCAGGACCAAAGGATGCTCAGAGCAAAAGTTCCTTGAATTAGAGCCAAGGTTCTCTGAACTCCCCGAGCTGAGGTTTAATGCGGGGAGAGGGTCACCTCTTCCTTTGTAATCTGCTGTAGACGTGTTTGTTTTCCTTGATTATACTCCTGCATTTTAAACTTTATAAGCTCAGGGATTGCATCTGTTTTGTGTTGTTGTTACTTGCTTTTTTCTTAAGGACTTTAAGAATCAGGCTTTGTGTTGGGTCCAGAGTACTTAACACGATATAAATTTATAGATGGCTTGGGTGTAAGGCTCTCTGTAGTTGGGTGCCAACACCTCAGTATTGTGAGAGCGTTTCTTAAGAAAGGGTGCTAAGGTAGATATAATGGAGGAAAAAAAGATAAAGGAAAGCATGCTTTTATTTTCCTCTATTTTTTTTCTTTTTCTTTTTTACTCAGAAAAACAAGGAAAAGAAAGCAAAGCAAATAGTTAGAAGGTACAAATAAGCTGGGAGGTAGCTTTTGATAAAACATGCAGGATAATTCGTTAGGTCGAAAGCACCTGTGGATCAGGAGATTCTTCAGGGATACTCTGGTCAAGGGAGTGTCTCAGAGTGCCACGTGTGTGCGGCTTGGCAGTGACAGATGACTTTCTATTTGTTTGACTCTGCTTATAGATTAAGTTAAGGGTCTTTGTAATATGTAAAATCCTTTGTATATACTTAGGCTATAAAGACCTAGTTGAATTAAGTTTGTCTTTCATATGATTTGCTCCTGATTAATTCTCAGTATTTTATTATAATGTCTTTAGTCTCTAATTTTAAAACATAGATGAGAGTGGAGTTTTTGCTAAATCTCTATAGAAATACAAGTCATTCTGAGGGTCAAAACTATGTTACTGTATTATTTGTGAAGTTATGAGTTGTTGTTACACTGTTACCTGGCACTGTCCCCAGTCATTCATATGGGTTAAAAGCCTTAGCATCAAAATTGTCCACTGCAGTGGACACCGCATACTGCTGGTTCACTAATGATCAGTCTTAGTCTCTGGCTTTTCACATTGATTTAACAATGCACAGATCTGATGAAAAAAAAATTAGATCCACTATTCTCCAAAATGTATGAGCTCATTTTATTTACCTTCTTTTAAACTAGATGCTTTCTGATGCAGCACCTGGAAAACTGAGAGTTGTCCATGGAGATGTGCTGACATTTAAGGTAGAAAGGGTTTTTCCACAAAGTCTCAAAAGACGTTGGGAGGATGGTAAGTGACTTTGCATTGGTTTTCTTATTTTCTTTTGTGATTGTTTATATTACAAATATTTATTGTATTATATGTTACAAGTATTTATTATTATATTAAAAATTAGATGAACAGAATTAAGTAGGTAATGTGCATTGCAAGTATGTTCTGCTTTCCCGCTTTATTCCAAAATGTGAAATCTCTGAAGTGTTACTTTTTCTAAGTGGTGAAAAAAGAAGTGTTCTAGTAAACCAAGCCATACCCAAGCTTTCTTTTAACTTTCTTTCCATTGTCTTTCCTATTCAATGACCAACCAAAGCATTTTTCATTCATAGGCAGTGTTTATTAGGTACCTGCTATGTGCCCCAGATCCTTGGAAAATACAGATACAGTAGGGTGTTTCTTGCCCATAAAACCCCTTAGAACAACTGGAGGAGCAGTGTGGGTGCACTTCCAGAGCTGCCACCGTGTCTCTGGCCTCTCCATGGGCGGGCTCCTTCAGAGATGCCAGCGCTGCGCGTCCCCTCCTTCCAGCACACCGCCCAGCCACAGTCACAGACACAGTGACACACCTCCTCGTTGCCTGTGTCAAACCTTTCCTAAGTTCTCTGGCGTTAATATGACCATTAAGAAGATTTCTCTGCTCATGTCTTCCCTGATTCCTGGCCCTCCCAATTTTCCTTTCACCTTGTTGTGAGCCTTCTCTAACTGTTCTTCGCAGTGGTCATTTTTCCACCCACGTCTTACATGTTGTTTCGGGGGGGTGGTCAGGGAGCAGGGCATCTTCCGTGCAGCCAGTTTGCCTGGATCACTCCCCTCCTGTGGTCTCACTTTCCACGTCTATATTGCACACACTTAGATCTTCTTTTCCGACCTGTGTCCCCTCCCTGGGCATCTGACAGCTTCATCTCGGTGCCCCATGGGAGCTTTGACCTCATCATGTCCAAAACCGATTATCCTTTCCCTCAAACCAATTCTTTTTCATATTTTTCCTCAGCCAAAACCGGAGGACTTGAACTGACTGAATACTAATTAGGTAGGATTTTTTTCCTTCATAATTCGAAGCTGATTGTGAGAAAACATTGCTACTGAGGAATAAGTGGACTGAAAAACAGCCATATCTTTTCATATAGTTTTATTTGATACTGTTAACATCCAATTTGATTTTACTCTTAAATTATATTCAGAATATATAGATGAAATCATTCCAAGTTGTTTTTTCTTACGCCAACCAGATCCTCCAAATGTACATATTATTGGAAACCTGCCTTTTAATGTATCAACTCCACTGATTATCAAGTGGCTGGAAAATGTTTCTCTTAGAAATGGACCTTTTGCTTACGGCAGAACCCAGATGACGTTGACTTTCCAAAAGGAAGTGGCAGAGGTAAGCCTTAACTTTTTCTGGCTATCTTAACACACGATCAAATTCCCAAACAAAACAAAAAGAATGTGATAATCAGCTTGGAGCTGGGAAAGGGAAAGGGTTGGGTGTCTCACTGTTCAATATACAGGCTTTGACTTAGCTGTGCCTGCTGGCCATTCCCGGGGCTGGAGTTAGTCTCTCTAGAAAATACACCTGCAGGGCAGGCGAGAGCAGTTTTTGAAAGGCAGGGGTTTAAGGAGGGGTCTGCAGACCACAAGTGTTTGTTTTCTTTCTAAATTTTATTATGACATATAAATACAGAAGAGCATATAATGTCTATGCATGACTTTGTATCTGTATGGCTTAATAAAATGAAGACCTGAATCCCACCACCCAAGTCAAGTTGGTGATTAAATTACCAGCATCTTTGATGCCCTCTTGTGTGCCTCATTCTGATTGCATCTCCTGTCCCACCAGCTACCAAGATAATCTATACTAGGAGTTTGCAGTTTATTATTCCGAGTGGTTTATTACATATTCTTATCTGTATAACTAATATACTTTAGTTTTGTCCGTGTTTGAACTTTGTACAAATGTGTTCATACAAGATGTATTCTTTTTATTTGCTCATGTTGCTCATAGCTGTAGTTTATTTGTACAGCTTTTTACTGCCCACTCTTTGACTATGGATTTATCTGTCCACTTTCCTGTTTGGGGACCCTGAATGAGTTTCAGCATTTCATTATTACAAACAAAACAGTCACGAACATTCTTACATTTACGTCAGCTGGCTCACAGGACTTCTCTACGGTACACACCTGAAGGTGGCAGTGCTGGATCATAAGGTCTGCAAGTCGCCCCCCTGGTTAGGTAACACTAAACTGTTCCTCTGAAGTCATTGTGCCTGTTTGGATTCCCACCACCAGTGTGTGTGCATTCGTTTTGCTCCATAGCCTTGCCAGTACTTATTGCCAGACTTGTACATTTTTGTTCATCTGAAAAGGATGGTGCGTTTATTTTGTCTTTTGCTGATTTTAATGAAACTGAGCATCATTCTACATGTTTATTGGCCTTTATTTTTCTTTGTCAAGTGCTTGCTTTTGCCCGTATTTCTGTTGGGTTGCCTGTTCTTTTCTCATGGATTTGGAGCAGTTCTTACATATTCTTCATACTAGCCTTTTATTAGTTAAATGTGTCACAGACTTCTTCCACTATTGTCTTACAGTGTCCTTTGAAGAGCAGATGTTTTTAGTTTTAAATTTATGGTTAGTGCTTTTCATGTCTTGTTGAAGAAATTCTTTTATATCCTGAGATCATGAAGATATTCTTCTGTGTTATCTTCTAGAAGCATTATTTTACTTTTTACATTTATATCTATAATCCACTTGAGATTGATTTTCATGTGTGGTTGAAGTAGAAGTCAATTTTACTATTTTTAACATATGCTTCCAATCAAACTAGTACCATTTATTGAGAAGTCTGCCCTTCACTGACCTCTAACAACACCTCTGACATCGTGACAGGGGCCAGTATAAGCACTGGTCTGGTTAGACACAAGAAAGATGTGAAATTGAGGAAACAGAAGGCCCAATTCAGGAGACAGAGGAGGGAATCTTCTGGAAGAACATTTAATTTGCATCAGAGCAGATGAATAATTTGATAAAATACCTATCATGTTTGTGTATACTGAGAGAAGACGTCTACAAGTTGGGGAGAGTTTAGGATTGAATAGTGATAAATAAATAGAAAATTATACACACTAGGGATTGAAGTAAATAAAAGCATTATTGGAAAGAGAAATTTAAAAAATATTATTTGGAGATACACAATTGTTTATTTTGGAAGCCTAAGGGAAAAAAAGAGACCTGTGTAAAAATAACCATGAAACTTGGCTGAGAGTCTCAAAAGATCACTGAGATAAATCAAGAGAAATATTATAGCCCTAGAAGGAAAAATTATTTTTGTAAAGATGCTTATTTTTTCCAAATTAAGTTTTTCAGTAACCTTAAAATGTTGTGCAGTTCCAGGTATTATCTTGAGGAATAGACCTGCAAAAATGGATAAGAAATTTTGAAAAAGAAGAGATACGAGAGAAGACTTGCCTATCAAATATTTAAATGTACAGTGGAGCTCTAACAATCAAAGCACTATGAGCTGGCACAAGATAGATCAGTGGCTAGATTAGAAGACCCAGAACGAGACCAGAACTTAGTGCTTACATGTTAACAATCAGACCATAAATCAGCAGACAAAAAAGAATTCTTGAACAAGTGCATGGATATTTGGTTAACTCTTATGAAAAAATTCAGTAATTCACTGTTTATGAAACAATTCCAGTAACTGCCTTCAAATTTACCACTCTTTTCTGCAGTTTCTAATCCTTTTTTAATTTTACTCTATTTTTCATTTTAGGTATTACATTTTTATCTCTAAAAGCTCCATTTGCATCTTACTTTATCTTCCCTTTCTCTCCTTGTGTTCATGCTTTCCTTGGCATCTTTATGAATATGTATAATATTTGTAATAGCTGTTTTAAGATCTCTACCTACTGATTTCATTACATCTGTCATTTCTGTACTGTTCTACCAGTTGATTTCCTCCCCCACCCCTTTGCTTTGGGTCCCATTTTCCTGCTGCTTTGCAAGCCTGGTAATTTTTGACAAAATGCTGGGTACTGTGAGGTTTCTATTTCTGTCTTTTCCAGTGTTGTTGAGGGCCAGCTTTTGTTGTATTGGGTTGAGTGGTGGGTTTTGTTCTGGCACGTAGATAAGTTACTTGCAGGCTGGTTTGAGATTTGTTTTTGAGCTTTGTGATGATGGGTCCAGTGCAGCCTTTAATCTGGGGCTAAGTTGTGCTACTGAGTCATGATGTTCCTAAGGACTCCATCCATCTCCCTGCGAACTGTTTCCAGCCCTGTGTGAGCTTCGTTTGCCCTATAGCTTTCCGGTGGTACTTTATTCTGTCTCCCAGCCTTCCAAGCCTTGAGGAGTTTAACCTCATACCCTTGGAGATCAGCTCAGCCAGAGACTTAAAGGAGCACATCTCAGGAGCCCTGGCTCCTTCCTCTATCCACCTCCCCTCCCTGCCACCTCTCCCCACTGTGTCCCCACATCTCCAGTAGTCTGCCCCGCAAATCCTGGCTGTTCCCAGCGCCCAGAACTTCATCCTCTGTCTCCTCAAGTCCAGGAGACCCCTGCCTCCTCCCTGTGCCGCAGCCTGAGAAAGGCCTCCAGGCTGTCAGCTGTGCAGTCGTAAGGCTTCCCTTCTTTGCCTTCTGTCCGTGACCACAGCCCCACACTGCCTGTTGTCCGGTTGATGAAAACTGTTGTTTCATAGCTTTTAGTCAGCTTCATAGTTGTTGCTGTAAAAACAAACAAAAAGCCACCTTTTTAATAGCAGCATTCCCTTTGAGAGTAGACTGTATAACCACACTAGTTTAGATATCTTCCTCTCCAATAATTTACGAATGTATCATCAGAGTTTTATTCCTTAGATCCATCCCTCTCTCTTTACCCATGTTCCCTTTCAGAGTTACAGTTTTCAAAGGAGCGATTTTTGCCCCACCCACCACTCAGGGACATTTTTGGTCGTCACAACTCAGGGGTGCTTCTGGCATCTAGTGGATAGAGATTAGGGATGCTGGTAAATGTCCTTCAGTGCACAGGATGGTCAAGGATGGGCCCCCACAACAGAGAATTACTCAGCATTAACCAGCCACAAATGTCAATAACTGTGCCAAAGTTGAGAGACTTTGTTTTAGAGTGTTTGTCCATAAAATCCATCACAAAACTGTAGGACCCTTTTGTGTTTGTTATAGACTCTCAGATGACATCCTCACTCCCAAGGTGCTAGTCATTTCCTCCCCCGAATCTGTTAATTCTCCTCTGTTGGTTTGAATTGAGGTCTTGCTAATAATTCTCTTTGTTAGTTTTCTCAACTTTTGAATTTATCCTTGAATTTTTTTTCCTCAGCTGACATTGTTATTATGGTATTTCTATTTTTCAAGAACACAATAGACATGCAAAATACTGTGTACTCTAATTCTTTGGGGGGAAAGAGCAAAAGAACAGAAACTGAGGAGGTGGGTAACATTTTCAGTGGCTCAGTGTCGAATGTGGTAATAATAGTGTTGCTTTCACTTCATGTGTAATTATTTTTCTTCAACAAAAAGTTGATTTTAGTTAAATTTTAGTATAAATATTGAGGAGAGTTATATATTGAGTCTATAATTTACAGAATGCTTTAGAAGTGTGGATAACACTGGTCCTCTGATTTTCACATTTTACAAGTGAAAGTTTCAGTAGAAGAATATACAGCATTTTCTTACATACTCTGTTCTTGACACTGTCATAATTGTAATTTTGTATTTTAGCCGCAGAAAGCAATTTTAAACATTTGCTTTGCTCAGCTTTGTGAATTACAGAACAGAAATGAGCATGGTCCTCTTATTCCTTTCTCCCTGAGAAGACAGGGTATAAAATGTAAGAATTCAGCTCATAACACATTAAGGGGCATATCCACAGTTTAAAGTTACAGCTCATAAAACAGAACCAGACTGTGTAGCAATAAATGAGACCTTAACAGACCTCATCTGACCTCATTTTATAGATGATGAAACTGAGGCTCAGAGTGCTTTGATGTCTTCCAGAGGGTGTGGAGCTGGTCACAGGGGAAGCTGAACTTGAACCCAGGTCCTGCATTTTCTGCTGAAGTCATGATGTTCAGGTTCTTCATGTGACTGGCCCTCTGGTCTCTTCTTTCTGGGTCCAGCATCAGCCTCTTCATCTCCTGCCATCTCCAGAGGACCCTGGCAGGGAGGCAGTCACATCTCCATTAATTATTTAGATCTCATTGTTCCTGATGTTTGGCTCTGGAGCTTCTCAAGTGTAAGCCTAATTTTTCTACTTAAAATTATTTTCGATGAATAAGGGGAAAAAATAACACTGTCCTGGTGAATTCTTTGACCCTTGTTTTCTTACACTCAATCAGAATGCCTTTAAAAAGCTCAAGAGTTAGAGGTTTCCTTTTACTGAAAAATTACCTGGTTTGGTTCCCTGGCTTTTTGCTTTTAAAATCATCTATCTTGTAGTAGAGTTTGAATTTTAATAGCTTTACCTGTAAGATATCTATCAAAGAAATATCAATTCATGTTTGAATGGTTGAGTAACCATTTAACTCTCATGCTAGCTTTTAATGAAGTCTTTTGCAGAGCTTTCTGGTCTGTGATTTGAATTTTTCCTCAATATGTTAGGGATAGGTATGTGTACTGCTTTCTTCTAAGTTATAAGATATGATTCATGTATTTTCATCTTCACAACCTGTGTGTGTTCACTACAAGGATTGAATGGGTTACATTAATGGGTTCAGGACACCCCTTCACCAGGCAGAACTGGATACATGGCACTCTAAGTGAAATATACTTAAATGTGTCTTCATTTCAAACTAACTTACCCTCCACTCTTCCCTGGTTTGCTCTTTGGGTTAAAGTGATTTTTAAGTTCCCTTCATTTCATCAATGGGAACACACCTTTCAGATGTAAAAGTAAAACACTAGAAGAAAATCCAGGATGAAATAATTTTTTAAATCTGAGCATTTCTTTTGGTTTACTTTTTCATTTTGTGGAGTATGTTCATGCTAGATTTGAGCTTTTGCAAAACTGCTTTGAATTATGCCAGTTTATACAGTGCATTTTAAAAATTTGAATCTTAATGCCAGTGGTAAAATTAAGCTCCTTTTTTTGTTTATGAAGAACTAGAAATATTTTTGATCATTTCATCCATAAGCTTATTCTTGTTTTATTGACATACAGTCAGTTACAATGTGTCAATTCCTGGCGTACAGCACCATGTCCCAATCATGTATATACATATATTCATTTTCATATAAGCTTATTCTTGAGCTCAAATCTATACTTCCATTATTTGTCTTTGTTTTTGATATTTACAGTTCTGGGTTTTACATTTTAGTAAGGAAGAACTTATTTTGTCATATATACTGTAGCAACTTATCACTTGTCTTGAACTCGACTTCCCCATAATTTCAACTGTCCAAATACAGACAACAGCCAGGTGATTTAAAATAAAAAGGGATGAGATGAGGGATGGCTTCTGAGTAACAAAATAGATGCCCACAGGAAGTTTTCTCAGCATCCCAGATTAAAACCTGATTTTAAATCTTGAGGCAAAGCTTTTACAAGCCACATTACGTGGTTTTCATGCTCACAGCTGGTTAGAAGCAGCAAAGTAAAAGGGACTATTAGAGGCTGACACATGACAGTGAAGCAGGAAAGAGAACACCCGGCACAGTAAGCGTGGCTCACAAAGCGCTCTGTCTCTGGCTGTTTGGTGGTAAGGCACGCCGCTGGCTTACCTAGCCCCAGGGTTATTCCAGTCATCATCGGTGTTTGTCATGTTGACCCTGTATCATTCCAAAGAGGTTTAGAAGGTCCAGTGAGCCCTAAGAACACAGATAAGCAGGATGCATTTTAGAAAAACAAATATGCCTAATTTCTTTTATCCACCATTCAGCTTTGTTCAATCTTATTGCCGTATTTTTTCATATCTTCTTAAGAAATACTGTAAGTATGTTTGGAGCCGTCTTCTATCCCCTTTCTTTCCCTCCTATGAATTGAACTGTCTTAGGATCAATATTCATTATTCCCATAAGCATGTTTTGCTTGCTTTGCAGATGTAGATACATAAATAGATATACATACAGCGTAAACAGCAAGAAATAAGACGTGATCTTTTGAAGGTTTTATATAAATGGAGTCATACTGTAACGGATTTTCTGCTACTTAATTACTGGGATTTATGTTGGTAACTCTTGTTATTCATTATTTAGTATTCCATTGTCAAAACTGTTTAATTATTCATCCACTTATTGATGGGCCTTTATGTTTCTCCACTGTTTTTGGATACTACATACAATGTTGCAGTGAGTATTCTTCTACATACCTCCTTGTGAAGTATAGAGATCTCTCTCTGGGATGTAGTCACAAAGGTAGGCTTAAAGGATCATAAGCGTTTACTCAACTTTAGCTTTTCTACGTATATTGCCAGATTGTGGGTCCAGAGTGCCTGTACCAAAGTCCCCTCTCACAGGTAGGGTATGAAAATTCCTGTTGCTCTATGTATATTCACTGATACTAGGTTCTGTCAAGTTCTTTTTCTGTTGTTAAAATTTTGTTCATTTCATGAATATGAAATTGTATCTCATATGGTTTTAATTTGCTTGTCCCTAATTGGTAATTTAGTGAGCATAGTTTATGGTTATGGTTCATTTGGGGTGCTCTCACCATATTTCTCATCGTATTTTCTGTTTGTCTTTTGATTATTGATCTATAGGAGTTCCTTCTATATTCTGAACACTAATCCTTTGTCAGATTTAAGTTTCAAATACTTTCTCTCAGTCTGTGATTTATCTTTATAGTGTTTTTATTATAAAGTAGCTCTTAATTTAAATAGAACAAAATATATCAATCTTTTCTTTTATGGCTTTTGCTCTTGCATTATTAAGAAATTCTTCCCTACCGTGGGGAAACATAGATATTTACTTATAAAAATTTAAAAGTTTTACTTTTCACTTACTGTTGATTCACTTGGAATGTGTTTCTGGCTGTGGTCACGAGAGGGACCTGCATTTTCCTCCTTGTAAATGCCTGCTTATACCAATATCACTGATCCATTTTTTTCCCATTAGCAGTTGCTACATCACATCTATCACATTTCAGGTATATGTCACATTTCGCACGTGCTTGAGTTTGAGGTTTTTGTTCCATTGGTCTATTTGTGTGTGTAACAGTACCATACTGCCTTAATTTTGGCACCTGGCAAGGTGAATTACCCCCACCTCATCTCCACCCAGCACCTGCCCCCCGCAGACTGTTGATGTTTTTCAGGAGTGTCCTGGCTATTTTGGTTCCTTTGCTTTTTCATATAAAATGTATATGAAATTTAATTTAAAATTCTTGTAAAAAAATCTTTTTGGGATATTGATTGAAATTGTATTTATGAGTTAATTTGAATATACCTAATTTTAAAATAAAAATGTTTGTGTGCTTAAAAAAAATCCTAGTTTTTTGTTTTTGGGGTTTTTTTGTAAAGATCAGTTGTCAAAAACAGCCAGTTCTCCAAGGGTTCTAAATATTTAAGATTTTATTACACTTAAATAAAGAAAAGCACATCATTGAACATCAGTGTTCATTCAGATATTGAGGTGGTTCGTAAAATTACATAAGCATCTTTAGTTCTTCACTATTCTTGTTAATTTCTTCACTTACCAAATATTTGTTGATCATTTGTTTCATACAGTATCTTCTACATAGTTCAACAGTGGTTTGAAAATCCCAACAGCCAGTGGTAGGGAAGTTTTCTTGTTTGATTTTTTTTTTGAGTGCATTGTATATGATACAGTTCACACTTGTTAAATGTACCTGAGGTGGTACTGGAGGAAAGTGTTTCCCCTGTTGGCTGTATATCATGTCAGATAGGATATGCTTTTTAAATATTTAGTTCATCAGAAAATCCTGGTGTTCGTAGATCATGGAGTGTTGGCACCATTCGGTTTGATGAGACCAATTTAAGTATTTGCTAAAATTCCTTTTTGTCCTGCAGAGACTTACAGCCACTACAGGAAGCAAACAGCGAAGTCGCCTTTCCATTATGGCCCAGTACCTCTGTGACGTTCAACACATCTTGACAATCCCAGGTCGGGCTTTTATCCCCAAACCAGAGGTGAGTTTCTGTTTATTTGCTTTAGTACACCAAAATTAGGATTTTAAATGTAATCTTTGCTCCTGAAAGGATGTGTCAGAGGAATTTGATCTTTATTTATATCCAAACTGTACGTAACTTTTTCTTCCTCTCCTAAATAAGAACCATAAAAATCACAATATGAATAGTTAGTTCTTATTCTAATTTTTCTTCCCCTGAAATAGAATGATCAAATGCCTGTACTTATCCATGTTGCCCTCGTGGTGGTGTTATTACCATTATTATTATTATCCCCTTTACCCTTAGAAGTATCCCAGTGTAGAAGAAAAGTTGTATGGTCAGCCAGTCCTCAAGAAAAGAAATCAGTATTTTTTTGTGATTTCTGACGGAGACTTCTAACTAAAGTTACATCAAACATTATTTATTTATTTATTTTTATTGAAATATATTTGACATATAACATTGTATAAATTTAAGGTGAACAACTTGTAGATTTGATACATTTATATATTGTAATATAATTGCCATTGTAGCAATAATTAGCACCTCTATCATATTACATAATTATCATTTCTTTTTAGTAGTTGAAATAATTTAGTTATAGTCTTTAACAAATTTGATGATTATAATACAATATTATTGTCTATGTTCCCTGTACAGTACATTATATCTAGGGTTCATTTACTACCCATTGTAAGTTTGTGCTTTTTAAACAGCTTCCATCCTGTCTCCCCATCCTCTGGTAACCACCATTTTACAAGTCTTACTTTTTAAAATTCCACATACGGATGATACCATATAGTACCTGTCTTCCTCTGTCTCAGTTATCTCACTTAGCATAATGTGCTCAAGGTCTGTCCATGTTGTCACAATGTCAGGGTGTCCTCCTTTCTCATGGCTGAGTAACATTCCATTGTGTGTATGTCCCACATTTTCTTTACCCACATTTATCTATCAATGGACATTTAGGTGGTTTCCATATCTGGCTATTGTAAATAATGCTGCAGTGAACGTGGACGTGCATGTATCTTTTTGAGTTAGTGTTTAATTTTCTTTAGACAAATACCAAGAAGTTGAATTGCTGGATCATATGATAGACCTAATTTTTAATTTTTTGAGGAAGCTCCATACCACTTTCCACAGTGGCTACACCAATTTTACAGTCCCACCAACAGTGCGCAAGAGTTCCTTTTCTCCCCATCCTCACCAGCACTTAGGTCTTCTTGATGGTGACCACTGCAATAGGTGTGAGGTGACATCTTGTTGTTTCTCATTGCCATTTTCCTGATGATGACTGATGTTGAGCATTTTGTCAGGTACCTTTTGGCCATTTCGATGTCGTCTTTGGAAAAATGTCTTTTTAGTTTTCATGCCCATTTTTTAATCGGATTATTTGGGGGTTTTATTTGGGGTTTTTTTTGTTTTTGTCATTATTGAGTAGTATGAGTTCTTTGTGTACGTCAAGTATTTTTCTTATCTAATGTATAATTTGTAAAAATTTTCTCTCATTCTGTAAGTTGTCTTTTCACTTTGTAAGTTGTTACTTTTGCTGTGAAATAGTTTTAGATTTGTAGCCCCATTTGTTGATTTTTGCTTTTGTCCTTTGTACTTGTGTTGTCACATTCAAAAACTCATTGCCAGGACCAACGTTGAAGAGTTTATTCCCTACTTTTCTTTCCTAAGAGTTGTATAGTATCAGCTGTCATGTGTAAGTGTTTAATCTATTTCCAATTAGTTTTTCTGGGTGGTGTAAGAAGGGTCCACTTGTATTGCTCTGCATGTATTTATCCAGTTTTCCCAGCACCATTCATTGAAAAAACTGTCCTTTCCCCATTGAGTGCTCTTGGCTCCCTTGTCAAATGTTAGTTGACCATATAAGTAAAGGTTTAATTCTGGGCTCTCTATCCTGTTCCATTCGTCCATGTGTCTGTTTTTATGCCGATAACATGCTGCTTTTATTACTGTAGCTTTGTGGTGTAGTTTGAAATCAGGAAGTGTGATACCTGCAGCTTTGTTCTTTTTCCTCAGAACTGTTTTGGCTGTTCAGGGATTTCTGTGATCCATACAAATTTTTGAATTCTTTTTTCTATTTCTTTGAAGAATGCCATTGGTATTTTGATGAGGATATTAATTCTTCAGTTCCGTGAACACAGGATATTTTTCCCTTGGTGTCTTTTTCAGTTTCTTTTCAGAAAAGTCTTGTAGTTTCACTGTGCAGATCTTTCACCTCCTTAGTTAAGTTCATGCCTAAGTATTTTATTGTTTTTGATGCTATTATAGATGGATAGTTTTCTTTTTTCCTTTTTCGAATGTTTCATTCTTAGTGTATAGAAATGCAGTTGATTTCTGTTTGCTGATTTTGTATTCTCCAACTTTACTAAAATTGTTGATTACTTCCAACAGTTTTTTTGGTTGATCCCTTGGGATTTTCTATATACAGAATCATATCATCTGCAAAGTAGTGACAGTTTTACTCCTTTCCCAATTTGGATGCCTTTTGTGTGTGTGTATGTCTTGCCTGATCACTCTAGCTAGGACTTCCAGTACTCTATTAAACAAGAGTGGTGATAGTGGGCATCCTTGTCTTGTTCGTGATCTTAGAGGAAACGCTTTGTTTTTTTTCCATTTGAGGATAATGTTAGTTGTGAGTTTGTCATATATGATCTTTATTATGTGGAACTATGTTCCTTCTGTGCCCAATCTACTGAATGTTTTTATCATGAAAGGATGTTTGTTGTATTTTGTCGCATGCTTTCTCTGCGTCTTATGAGATGACCATGTGATTTTTAGCTTTCATTTTATTAATGTGATGTATTAAGTTCACACCATGGTATATAATTTTTACAGATTTTTATGTGTTGTTGAATTTGGCTTGCTAATATTTTGCTGAGAATTTTTGCATCTATGTTCATTAGGGATATTGGTCTATAGTTTCCTTCTTATATCCTTATCTGGCTTTGGTTTTCAGTGTAATACTGACCTCATAAAATTAATTTGGTAGTATTCTCTCCTCCTCAGTTTTTGGAAGGAATTTGGAAAGGATTGCTGTTAATTCTTCTTTGAGTGTTTGATAGAATTTTCTAGTGAAACGGTCTGGTCCCAGGGTTTTCTGTGTTGGGAGATTTTTGATTACTTGCTGCAACATCTTTGTTCACTATTGGTCTGTTCAGATTTTTTACTTCTTCATGATGAAGTCTTGGTAGGTTGTGTGTAGAAACGTACTCTTCTTGGTTATCAAATTTGTTGGCATATAATTATTCACAATAGTCTCTCATGGTCCTGTGTATCTCTGTAGTCTCAGTTGTAATGTCTCCTTTTTCATTTCTGATTATTTTTATTTGAGTCTTTTTTTTCTTAGTCTGGCTAAAGATTTGTCAATTTTGTTTGTTTTCAAAGAACCAGCTTTCAGTTCTGTTGATCCTTTCTCTTGTTTTTCTGATCTCCATTTCATTTATTTCCACTCTAATCTTTATTATTTTCCTTCTTCTGCTAACTCTGTTCTTTTTCTAATTCCTTGAGGTATAAGTTTAGGTTGTTTATTTGAGATCTAATTTCTCAGTATATGCATTTATTGCTATAAACTTTGTTCTCAGAACTGCTTCTGCTGTATTCCATAGGTTTTAACATGTTGTGTTTCCATTTTCATTTGTTATTTAAGATGATTTATTTCCCTTTTGATTTCTTCTTTGACCCATTGGTTGTTCAGAAGTGTGTTGTTTAGTTTCCACATATTTTTAGATTTTCCAGCTTTTCTCGTGTTGATTTCTACCATTTCTCCCTTTGGTTTGGTATCAATCTTTGATTTTCTGAGATTTTCTTTTGAGCCCTGTCACATGATCGATATGAGAAAACGTTCCATGTGCACTCGAGAAGAATGCATATTCTGCTGCTTTTGTAAGGAATGTCCTGTGTATGTATGTGAACTCCGTTTGTTGTAGAGTATGGTTTAATTCCAACATTTCCTTGTTGAATTTTTGTCTGGATGATCTATCCATTGCTGACAGTGGCATATTGAAGTCCCTTACTATTGTTACATTGTTGTCTATTTCTCCCTTTGGATGTGTTAGTATTTGCTTAATGTATTTCATTGCTCCAATGTTGGGTGTATATATATATGCATATACATATATATATGTATATGTTATATCTTCAAGCTGTATTGACACTTTTATCATTATATAGTGACGTTTATTGTCTCTTGTTACTGTTTTTTGTCTTTAAGTCAATTCTGTCTGATACAAGTATGGCTATACCTGCTTTCTTTTGGCTTCCACTTGCATAGAATAGCTTCTTCCATTCCTTCCCTTAGATCTTACGTGTGTCCTTAAAGCTGAAATGAGCTTCCTGAGGGCAGCATATTGTTGGGTTTTGTTTTTTATTCTTCCAGTCGCTTTTGATTGGTGAATTCAGCCCAGTCATATTTAGAGTGATTGTTGACATTGAAGGATTGACTGCTGCCACCTTTGCGTTTGCCTTCTGCTTGTTTTGTATCACCATTGTTTCTCCCCTTTGTTTCTCTTTGCCTTTCTAATGTTGTGGATTTCCATGCTCATTTGCTCTGTCTTCCCTTTTTGTCTTTCATGACTCTACTGCAGAGTTTGGCTTGTGGTTACCATGTGGCTTTCATAAAACATCTCAGAAGGAAAATAGTTCTTTTTAAAGGCTGATAGCACCTTACCTTTATTTGCCTATAAAGTTTCCACCCTTCCACCCCTCCTGTTTCATATCTTTGATATCACAGTGTTTATCTTTTTTATGCTATGAATTCGCTGAGAAATTATAATAGCTGTAGTTATTTTTAATGCTATTTCTCCTTAAACCTTTTTTGCTATAAATAAGGGGTTAACATATCATTGTAATATAAAATTTTCTAATTCTGACTTTTTCTTTTTACCTTTGCTAGAGCATTATGTACTTTCATTTGCTTTTATGTCACAAATTAGTGTCTTTTTTTATTTTAGCTTGAAGAATTCCTTTCAGCACTTCTTGCAAGGCAGGTCTAGTGGTGGTGAACTCCCTCA